GCCGGCCCCTCGCCCTCCCTCCCTCATAGCCTTCTGGGAAATGTAGTCCTGGAGGAGGCGCCGTTGCCTCCCGAGCCTGCAGCGAGACCCCCTCCGAAATGCACAATTGCTGGAGGGAAAAGATGCCAAAGCCCTGGGACCCCCGCTCCTAGCCCTTGTGCGCACATCCTTTCTGCTGCCAGCCCGCTCCCCCAGGTTCACCGCACACACGCCCAGCCCCTGCGGGCCGCGCCTCCGCCAGCTGGCTGGCGCCCCTGCCCGGGCTGGCGGCTGCGAAGCGACCTCGCTCCCCTGTAGATCGAATAGGGTAGGTGCAGGGAGGTGGGCGCTGTGAATCAGAAGGGCAAGGGGAGGGAGTCTAGGGTGTGCTGAAGGACACGGGGGTTGGAGTGGGGGAGGGTCCTCGGCTCCCGAGTCGTGCCTTCTCTGTGGGAACCCCACGCTGCCCTGGTGCAGAGCGGAGGGTTGGAGCGGCGTCGGCCGGGCTTGGGAGGACCTCGCTGAGCTGACCGAGATCACCTGTCAGGATGGCAGAAGGCTATCTGGGAGCCAGAGCCAGCCCCGGAACTGGGCTTGCAGCATCTCTGCTGATCGTCTCTCTCCTCCTGAGCACTGCGATCAATACCCTGTACTGCCTCTTCCCAAACCCTGGCTGGACCCTGACTCCATCCATCACTTCTGCTTCTTTTCCTAATGAGTATTTTCTCGGCTGGAAGGGCTACGACCAGAGCCTCGGCATAGGGAGATTTCTCATCAGATCTGTCATTTCCCTTGCTAAGGCCTGGGAAATACCTTAATCATCCACCTGGTTCTTCTCAGCTGATAAAATTCTTCCCACCCTAACGCAATCAAGAGACAAAAGCCCGCCCCTCCCCATCACATCAGAAGAAAGATCCTAATTCTTTTTCCTCCTCAAGCCCTCACATGTCACCCCATATTCATGCCTCCAGCTAAAGGGGAACTGAAATAAATCAAGGTCTGTGACTTGGAGACCTCAGACTTCTTCTCACTTTCCCCTCAAGAATGATCTCTGAGGGCAGGGATTCTTAACCTGAGAGCCAGAGACGATCCCTAGGGTGTCCAGGAACCTGGTGAAATGGAACATGCCCAGGTCTATTTTTCTAGGGAATGTAAACATAGTGGGTGACTGTCAGAAGGGGGAGAGAGGTGCAAGTTTGTTCAGCAAGAACCTTTATAGTCAAGAGGGTGAGCATATGGCCCCCTCGACTCAGACAGGAAGCTTGTCTGGGTCACAGATGGTCGCAGAACAAATGAAAACAGCATTGTGGAAGCCTCTCTGTCTCTCGCTCTCTCTCACCTTTTGACTTTGTTCTAAATTTGCTAATGAGACTCGGTTACCTGGGACTGATTGGTGCCACCAAAAGAGATGTCACCAGACTGGGGCAAGCCAAGAACAACTCTTCAGTTTGCAGACTTGGGGTGCAGAGTGGAGAGGTAGAATGATGTTTTGGTGGAAATGCAGAGATGTGTCCAAGAACTTAAAGCAAGGGAAGAGAAAATAAAAATCCCCAGAAGGGCTCCAGTCTTGGCTCCTCGTGGCAAATGCTTGAAGCACTGTTTATTCCAACGTGTAATAACAAGCACCAGAAAACAACATGCAACATTCTCCCCCCACCCCTGAGCTGCATCCCGGAGACAGGTGACCTAAGACCATGATGGTGGAGGGAGCTCGTGTTCAGGAAGGGTCCTAGGTGGGCAACCTGGTGAGGTCAGAGTTGACTAGGGCAAAGGGCCCTGCCTATTAGCCTCCTGCAGCAGCTGGAGAAACCGGACACCTTCTTCTACCCCTGGCCCCACTAGGCAGAGTGGTGATGCCAGCCCTGGTTGGAGGGGACATGAATCCTATGAGGACAGCCCTGTCCTTGGGCACTTGGCCTAGCCCCGCCTTTCCTCTTAGGGAGAGAGAGGCCATAACCTAAATCAAGGCTCTTCTGGCTGATAACAAGCCAGCCTTTGGAGGAGAAAGAGCCTTCTCTGCTCCAGGGGAAGTGCTGAGCTAGGAGTCCTTGGCAGGAGCATGTACACACCCTTTCCCCAGTGAAGGGCCAGTTGCTAACTTCGGCCCCAAATGAGAACACTGTATCCATCACATTTCAAATAAAGTATAAATATGTACGCAGCATCCAAACAAAGTTCTAGTGAAGCTGCTCATGGACCCCCACAGGGGCCAGCCTGAAGAAAATGAAGGTCGCCCCTTTGTTCTCTGTATCTCTGGAAAAAACAAAACCAAACCACCTAAGTCTTGCACCCAAGGACTCTGCAGCACTTGAGGGGACTCTGCCCCAGAGAATAAGTGATTGGCCCAAAGGCAAAGGTCTGACTCCTGGGTGCCCCAGTAATGTGCGTGTTCCTGTGAAAGGCATTTAGGGAGGCGAGGAGGTTGGAGGGGTTGACTCATCCGGAGCAGAGACTGGCACAGGGCATATTTGCCTTTGGGATGAAAATGGGCTAATTGGCACTGGACTGGGAAATGGCTGGATTCCACCTTCTTCATCCTTCCGTGGGCAGCCCTACGGCCAAGGCAGACTGGGTAGGAACTGGGTAGGGGACAGATGTCCCTTACCCAGTGGGCACTGTGTCTTAGGCCCTGGGGCCCAGAGAGGGACTGAAATCAGGAAGAGGAGACACACCAAAGACAAATATGGAACTAACTGGGTCCCCGAAGTGAAGAGCACCAATAGCATCGGCCTGCCCTGGACAGGGGCGCCTGGGGGAGGTGAGGCGGGAGGGAGGGAGAGGGAGAGGGCATGTCCTTTGTAAGGTGAAAGGGGAAGTACGAAAGAGGGGCCGGGGAAGTACGAAAGAGGGGCCAGAGAAGGAGCGGAGGGGGGCAGAGAATCAGGAGGAAATGGGCCCATCCGTCCATGTCCTGCGGTTCCGGGGCCACTTAGCCTCATGATGGTCCTTTGGGCCCTTCCAAAGCCCCTGTCTGGTCCCACAGGAATGAAAGGAAGGCCTGGCCAGACTTGGAAAAGGCTCTTGAGTGCCTCAGACCCAAGATGCTGGGGAAGGGAGATGGGCAGAGAGGCTGGGGGGGGGGGCGCTGAGACGGAGATGCCCCTAGACCCCTCACATTGCCCCCCAAGTGTTAGACCAAGCCCAAGGGGGAGGACAGGGACAGGGAAGAAGGTAAGGAGTTTAGGGCCAGCACGAGTTGAGAGCGTTGGTGGGAAGAGCCCCAGCTTGGAGGGGTGGGACTGAGGAAAGAGAAGAAACTGACTCCCCAGCAAGTTTCCTCGCTTTAGTTTCTTGAATTTCAATGCAGTTGCAATTTATCTGCTCCCCACTGAGTCTAAGGCCTCATGGGGGGGCCCTCTGAAGGCTGTCTGCCAGGCTGGTGGGCCTCCTTGGTTCACACATGGTGGGCTCAGCGGGCAAGCAGAGGCCAGAGGAGAGAGTGGGAAGCGCACTGAGCTAGGGCTGTCGAGAGCAGCGCGGCCCAGGGCCTGGGTGCAGCCATTGAAGTGGGGTCTCTAAACCACCGCTGGGCCCCCCACGCAGGGGGCCAGGGAGAAGGCTGTCAGCCAATTTCCCCTCCCCCACTTTTATCGAAGCTGGACAGGCTGCTAGAGGTGGCTGCCAGGAACTAGTCTCAGGACTCTGGTCTCCTGCCCCCACCCCTCGCTTGCAGCAGAGGCTCTGAGGGTCCATACGACCCCAAGTAAGGTGCCTGGGCCCAGGCAGTGGACAAGCAGCACTGAGTTCCTGCCATCTGGGCCCCAGCAAGAGGAGGGACAGGGAGCCGCTGGGAGGGCTGCCCAGGTTTCCGACAGCTGCTGCCTGCCCGGCCGGCGACGACTTCTCAAAGCTCAAAGCCCAGAGCGGTGGGGGAGGGGGGCTGGAGGAGAAAGAGGAGGGAGGTCCTGGAAGCCGAGGTGCTGTCCGTTCGGGAGTAGCCAGGTGGGGGCTGCTTACTGCTTCTCCACGGCTCCTTGCTCAGCAGTGCTCTCCGGGCTGGGGCCCTGGCCCTGGTCCTGGCCCTGCCCGTGCCAAGGGGTCTCCTTGAACACAAACCAACAGTTCCCGGCCCACAGGAAGAAGTTGATAAAGCCGAAAAGCTGCAAAAACATCAGGGAGTTTATGAGAAGAGGAAGGGGGCGTCGTGGGAACAGGGAGGGGAATGCCTGTGGTCAGAGGCAGGTGGGGAGAAGTACAGAGGGCTGCGAAAACTAAACGACGGGGAACTGGATATTGAGACGGAGTTCAAGGCCATCCCTCGCTAAGGGGCTCTCGGGCGAAAGTGTCTAACTGTGTACAGATGCACCCAAGCTGTGCCTCGGTTGCTAGGAGACTCTGGCCCCTGGAGTGGAGCTCTGTGCAAAGCACAGCAAGGAGCATGGGTCCTAGTGGCTCTTCCCATATCGCACTGGGGCCCCGGTCCCAGAGCTTTCTGCGAGTGGGTGTGGCCAGAGCTGTCCAAGGTGCTCCTTCCCTAGGGCCAGGGAGCCAGCCAGGGCTATATTCAAATATTTATTCACAATATCTTAAAACCTCTCATCAGGAAGTATTTAAGGGAAAGTGTACTGACGCTTGCAATTAACTTTGAAATGCATTAAAAATAAGACAGATTGATGGATGGAGAGAGGCGGACAGACATGTGATAGAGCGAGTCTAGTGAAATGCCCGTGGTACAGTCTAGCTTATGAGTACGTGGGTGTTCATTATAAAATTCCTTCAACTCTGCTGTATGTGGGAAAATTTTTACAATAAAATGTGGGGGGTTTGGAGGGTGAAACCTATCAGTAGGGTTCCAGCAAGGTCAAGAAGGCTCCCTGGTGTGCCAAGGATTAAACCCTTCAGCCTGTGGGCCCTGGGGAGGTTCAGGCCATTTGCAGGGTAGGGCTGAGGTGGCTGGGATGACAAGACATTGGAAAGCTCGAGGCCTCAGCTATTTACCAACTGATACGAAAATATTTCAACTTTGTAACAACTGGGATGGCCAAAAATGTGTTCATTGGCTGGACCCATCACTGCCCAAAGCCCCTTTCCAGTCTGGAGATCTGAGTGACAATAAGCCCCTTCCCACTCATTCTGGGTCTGCTCCCAGCTTTGGGCACAGCTACAGCCCTGGGCTCCCCCTACACACACACACACACACACACACACACACACACGGTAAAGAGGCAGGAGGAGTGAGGCATGCCTGCCTGCAGGTGGGGAGAAGAGAGGGGAGATGGGAAGGCAACATGCGGAAGGAGGAAGGGACAGGAAGCTAAATGTCTTCAAGGGTCAGCTAGGAGCCAGCAGCCAGCATTAGGCACAGGGAGCACTGCCTCCACGTATAGGGGATCCCAGCTGTGCGGACACCCTCTCTGTTCTTCTCAGAACCTGCTCCTGGGACAGACTGGGGCAGCTGGCAAAGTCCTGCCTCCCCAAAATGCCCTGATGGTCTTACCACTGAGAGGTTGACCAGTCCCATGGAGGGCGTGGCCCCTTCGCTGCACACTGCGTCCTCTCCATGGCACACAGACATGGCCGCAGTCAGGCTGGATGGTTGCGTGGCCCCCTTGACATCAGTCAGGCCCTTGCCCCAGGCAGCTGCGGCTACCAGCCAGAAGAAGGTGAAGGAGACGGTCACACAGAAATCCTGGGAGAAGCAGAGGGACAGGAAATACAATCAGACCCCAGGACTCTCACTTCTTTTCCTCTTGCTCTAATGTACCAGGACCCTGGGGCCCAGGACGGTGCCTCTCCCATCCTGCCCAGAGCCTCAGGGAGCCTGGATCATTCTCAGGAACCCGATCACTGCCATCATCCAAAGAAATCCTGCCACCGGGGCAACCCTGCCCATGCCCTCAGACCAAGGTCAGGTAACAGTGGACTAAGGCATCTGCTGGTCAGTGCCACCCCAAAACCCGAGTGGCCTCAACTCCTCACTCTCCCTTCCCTTCCTTTATTTATTTTTAAATATGTTTTTATTGATTTCAGAGAGAGGAAGGGAGAGGGAGAGAGATAGAAACATCAATGATGAGAGAGGCATTGATCCGCTGCCTCCTGCATGCTCCCTGCTGGGGATGGAGCCCGCAACCCGAGCATCGAACCTCGATCTCCTGGATCCTAGGTCAATGCTCAACCGCTGAGCAACACCGGCTGGGCTCCCTTCCCTGTCTTAAAAATTTTTTTAACACTTTTTTCCTTTTTTAAACTTATTTTTCAGTTACGGCGACATACAGCATTATATTAGTTTCAGGTGTACAACGTAATGATTGGCCAGCCTAGCCTTTGACCAGCCACAGCTCAGCTCCCACTGGAGGCAGAGGGAGGGCAGGCTACCGGAGACAGAGGGGCCCCTCAGGCACCCCCTCCACCTTGCAGCCTGGGCCAGAGAGAAAGTAAGGGGGTGGCCGCCTGGTGCCTGGGACGACACTCAGCCTACTGAGCCACACAGGCCCGGGCTACATCCATTTTCATTTCATCCCCCCAGAACACTGTGCGACAGGTATTATTTTATTCCCACTTTATAGTTGAAGAAACTGAGGTTTAGAGAGAGTAAGGAACTTTCCCAAGAGCTAATGAGGGACAGTGTGGGGACTTGAACCCAGGCGGTCTGACTCCAGAGCCTGCGTCCTGATGCTACTGTGCCCCGGGTGGGGAGCCCAGGCCATGGGAGGCTGGCAGAGGCAGGGTCCTGAGACTGGGCCTTGCCCTGGCCTCAGGAGCCCTGGGAGCCGCCGTGCCCGGAGGGCCCCAGGGAAGCCACCGGCTCTGACCCGGCCCCCGCGGCCTGCACACTCACCGCCAGCGGGAAGCGCTTATTGTCCGTGTAGAGGCTGTGGAAGCGCAGGTAGAACACGAGCGCGGCCATGGTGTAGAAGAAAGAAAAAATGCCCAGCGTCACGAAGAACTCGGCGGGGGCCGAGAAGTCCCCCATGAGGCTCATGGTCTTGGAGGTGGCCTCCTCGTCACAGAGTGGCATCTCATACTGGACCCGGTTCAACCTGGGGGGTGGGGAGGCCTCCTGAGCTCGGGGATCCTGCCCCAGGGGTGGGCTGTGCTCTTCCCCCCTCCACTCTTCCAGAGCCAAGAAGGGGGCATGAAGGGGGGAATGTCCCTGGAGGGAGCCTCACAGCCAGGACAGGATCTTCCCTGGGATTCTGGTCACCCCACTGGTCATCCCTTTCAGCCACCACCCCACACTCACCCACCCTGCCCAGACGGGGTGGTCCTGTATTTCCAAGTGTCTCCAGGGCCCTCTAGGTCACAACCCCAGTAGATATAGTCCATCTAGTTCTGGTGGCCAAGCCTCCAGAAAATCAGCTTCATTCTGCCCCAGGGCAAGTGTAGGCCACGGTTGGCCACATTAAGGCTGGACTCACCCATCCCCAGGCCTTCTGTAGGCCCCAGTGAGACTATATCGAGCAGAGAGGAAAATGAACATCCCAGTATATACAAGAGACAGTTCATCTAACTTGGCTGCTGCTACTAGGAATTTCTGAAAAGGTGAGCCCTGTCCCCATTGTCCTCTGAACACTCGGGCCCCCCCCAACTCAGCTCCCAAATACCCAGGAGAGACTATTCTCCTCTACCTCATGGGCACAGTGTGCCTCCTTTTACTCTGGTGCCAGATCAGCTCTTTGGGATCTAAGTGCTAATAAGCTTCCTTACCTTCGAGGCAGGGAGGAGGCTGCTGTGGGTCAGAGACCTGCCCAGCTTGCCCAGGCTCCTGTGACCCTCCATCCCAAGCTGCTTGGGTTCTTTCTGTAAGGCCGCTGTTACCTGCTATTGGTTATCTGTGGGCTGAGACATTATTACAACCATGGTCTATCTGATTGCCCTTATATTTCTCTCTGGTCGGTGTGTCTGACATTCCTAACGGGCAAGAAGGACCCCATTCGGGAGTGACACCCTGCGAAAGGTCTGTGGGCGTCTGGAAGAGATCTAGCAGGTCCTGCCGAGCCAGTGAGAGAGGCTGTGCGGGGTGGACACCAAGGCTGCTCACCTGAAGGGATAGCCGAACAAGACAATGATGGAGCTCACGTCCTTGGCTTCGTTGTTGCAGCGAACCATTGCTCCGGTCTCCCCGCTGTAGGAGCCGCAGCACCCGAAGGCGAAAATAGCAAAAAGCTGGGGAGAGTGAAGCCCTTTGGGTCAGAATGCATCCGGGGGCCGAGGTCTAGCCCTTCCAAACCACCCTCTGACTAAGCAGTGCAGATATGGGGG